CACTGTCTCTAACCTTAAGCCCAAAATAGGCCCCCCCCCCCTGCCAGCAATCCACTGTCACCAGCCTAACTGAGCATGGCCTATCCCTAACCTCAAACCTTACATCTAAGCCAAACCCCAAACCCATACCCTCCACCATTACCTTTACCCCATTGCTCACCCCAGCCCCTCACCTTTACCCCCACTATTAACATGTTGGCCTTATATTGGAAATTGATTTACGTTGCTTGAAGAATCACTGTCAAAGGTATAAGCAAAAGGGGTTTCAGTATGATGTTGTAGAAGTGCAACTTAACAACATTCAATGGCAAGGTTCACTCTATTAATTACTGCGTGGAAGAAACACACAAAGGGAAACTGAGTTACACCAGAGTCAGAACGATTCACAGAGAGTCCGTGGCTGCAAAAGGCTAAGGAAGACCCTCCCGTTAAGTCACAGGGTTCAGAGCAGAACCCCTTGCTTTCTAAACACCTGATGGAGCTTAGGTGTGGCCAGGTCCAATCTTAGTCTCAGACTCAAACAGTGGTCTATTTCTAAGGGATTGTACATGCAAAATTTATGTAATGTTTCATTCCCATCAATTCAGCAGGCAATCAGAGTTACCAAGACAAAATGAAAGTTACCATACTACAAGGTTATGTGTGATCTTGGTGGCTTACCAAAGATCTGTCCTTGGTAGAACGTCTCCCTGCCTGGAGGAGCAATCTTGAGAGGTGCCCCAGCTCCAGGGCAGATCACCGCCATGCAGCCACACTGCCTAGCAGGGAGAGCTCAGAGAAGGCTCACTCAGGCTGTCACGTTTATGGGATAAAGCGGTTGGCTCGTAGTCAAATTACATGTGATGGAAAAGGTAGGCATGGGGCTCCTTGTACCCACAACTTACTTTTTTCCTTGATAAATGGGTCTTGGGAAAGCCATCTGCTGTTCATGTGTCAGTCACACAATCAGTGGTAAAAGCTCATATGCATCGATGCTCACGGTGTCACTCTGCTCCTTTGTGGGCTTTCAGAGAACAGATTGAAACACCAGGAGTTCATGGCCCGGCTAGAGCTCAGGCCTTTGCCTCTTCTGGAGCCTGCACCAAACCACCACCTCTCTGGTCAAAGGGTCGAACGAATCTATCACAGGCCACCCTGTGACTACAGTCAATTCACCTTGTCAGCTCATAGAGTCGTAGTACGGTTGCCTCTTGCCTCTATGTCATAAAGATGTGGTGTATTGCAGATCGGTGGTAAGAGCCCAATTATTTGAGAAGGTGTTTAGTTTAGGTGTCACAATTAATGCTTGTTATAGATAATTTTAAACAGGCCAAGGAGGAGAGGTGTTGGAGTTGCTTTCTAAGTGAGGCAGCATCTGGAATGTATAGAGCTCTGCCTGCGGGTGGATGAAGGACAAGTTGAGAGCTTATGGGTAAAAATTAAGGGACGGGTCAATATGAATGACACTGTTGTGGGTATTTACTACGGGCCACCTGACCGGGAAGAGGAAGCAGACGAGACCTTCAACAGACAGCTGAAAGTAGCCTCACAATCACAGGCCCTGGCTTTCATGGGGCACTTCAGCTACCCTGGCATCTGCTGGAGGCACCACACAGCAAGGTTCACACAGTCCAGGAGGTTCCTGCAGAACATCAATGATAACTTTTTGATACAGGTGATGGAGGAGCCAACAAAGAGAGCAGCCCTACTGGACCTTGTGCTGACAAATAAAAAAGAACTGGTTGAGGGATGTGAAAGTAGGGTGCAGCCTTGGATGACACTCCAGTGAAGAACCTTTATCTAGCCATTGCAGCATGCAAGCTGTGTGAGATGTCCCACTATGCATCCCAAGTTATTCCATCAACGTCACAGCTTGTGACAGACCACGGGGGTCCAGCTCCTCATGCCTCTTCCCAGTCCAAGCAGAGTGCTGAACATCTGGGCTTTGGCCCCAGAATTGTGGCTCCAGGGCCAAGCTCAGACTTGCCGTGGTGATACCAAGCACCCAAGAGCCCGTGCAGGCAAAAGCTTTGCTTCATGGCAGACACATGCTGGAGGAGAAGGCAGAGGGCATGGCAAGACAGACACGAGGTGCCCCCAAAGAGAGCAATCCCTGCTGTGCCCAAGGTGAGAGAGAAAGAGGGCTGGGCTCTGCATCCCTGGCAGCAGAGGGCACGACTGTCTGGGGTGTCTCTGCAGCCCTGGAGGGCCTTTGGTGGAGAAAGGCACCGATGTCCTGGAAGAACCAGGTGCTGCTGAATGTTTCAGTTGTTGCTGAGCAGGGTTCACACTAGTCAAGGACTTTTCAGCTTCAGCACAGACAGGACAGCTGACCCCAGCTGGCCAAGGGACTATTCCAGACCGTATGGCATCATGCTCAGTATAGAAACTGGGGGGAGTTGGCCAGGGGGCAGCAATCACTGCTCGGGGATGGGCTGAGCATTGGTCAGCGGGTGGTGAGCAATTGCATTGTGCATCACTTGTTTTGTGTGTTCTTTTATCATTGTTACTATTATTTGCCTCTGGTGTTTTATTAAACTGTCTCTATCTCAACCCATGGGTCTTACTTTTTTTTTTTTTCCAATTCTCTCCCCCATCCCACTGAGGGTTGCGGGGGGAGTGAGCGAGCGGCTGCGTGGTGCTTAGTTGCCAGCCGGGTTAAACCACGACAGTGCAGTGCCTTGCATCTACCCTATAGAGATGGGACAGGGCTGACCTCTCTGCGGGGGTGGGAATCAGTCACATTGACACGAGCACCCAATTAATCTGAGATGCCGCCATGGGTGTCTGTGACACACCCGCTGTGAGGGGACAAGGCTCCCCTATAGGTCCTGTGCTGTCCCTGCAGAAGTGAGGCAGGAAACACGGGTAATTGCTTCAGCCTCTTTCCAAGCAGGTTCCTGGAGAGCCCCAGAGACACCTGGAGGCAGTGCAGAGTGGGGTGGGGGCAGAGACATTGACACCTTGGGCTGGTCCTCTGCTCCTGGGCTGAGACAGGCTCCTGGGATGACTCATGGCAAGCAGGCAGCACTGCCGAGAGACAGCTCTGCCAGGGAAGAGCTCCTCTGCAAAGTGCAGAAGGGCTCTGGGAAAAGGAGTAGGGCAGGGAGAGATTAAAGGCAGCTGAGAGTGGGAGGAGAGGGGAGAGCTGAAAGGGAAGGAATCTGGACAGCCCCTGACACGGTAAGTCTCTTGGTGCAGGGCAATGCAGCTGTGGTTCCAGGGAGGCTCTCCTGAAGCTCTCCTAGCCTCCAGGCTTCAGGATCTGTCAGGAGGGCTCCCAGCCCAGAGGCTCATGTTAGACAAGTGTGAAGGTCTGAAGCCAGGGTGTGCACCCAGAGCTGCCCAGGCCATTTCAGACGGGACTTTGCCAGAGGCAGGCGCTGCCCTGAAGGTGAAGAGCTTTCCTGAGCCTATGCTTTCAGTTCCCTGCTCTTTCGGGGAAAAAAGAAAAGGTGCTGCTAATTGTAGAGAGGGAGTCCTGAACTGCCCCACTGAGAGATCCATAGGTGTGGTAGGAGCCAAGTGAACTGCTTCCACCCACTGTTCTACCTACAGGGAGCACCAGCATCACCTTTGTTGTCCTTATCAGGCTTTGTCTGACCTGCTCCTTACGGCCTGCAAGCGGGGAGTACCTCTGGAGAGTGCCTGAAACTGGGAGGTTTCTTCAGGGCAGAGCTGAGCAGACAGCAGCTGCTGATGGTCTCTGTGATCCCTGAGAGGGGTAGAAATTGAGGGCAGAGAAACCTTTTCTGGCAGGGATAGTTCCAGACAGCAGACTCATGAGCAGAGACCTCTACAAAAGTCCAACCGGCAATGTCATGGGAAGGACAATGTCACCTCTCCCTGTCACCTCTTCCAAGGCAGACCCCTCCTTGGAGCAAGACCCCTGCTCTCATCTCCCACCCAGCACAGCCTCTGCCCTTGGACCAGGGCAGGAGCTGCCTCCGCTGCAGCCAGAGCTCCAGCACAGCAGAGGTGCATCTCTCCTGACACGTGGCCTCTTCCCTCTGCACCGCAAAAAGGCTGAGAGCTACTGCCCTGGCATTTTGCTGACTGGGAGGTGCTGGGCTCTGCTGGGCAAGGAGAAGGCTTTCCTGAGTGCCTGCCTGCCTCTCCTCTCCTTGCTGCCCTTCACAGAAGAGTCACAGAGTTTTCCTTTGTTTCTGCCCCGGGTTGTGCTGCTCTTCTTCATGCTCTTGGGGTCCCTGGCAATAAGACTGGTGGTGTGGAGAAAGTCTTGGGGGTGCTTGAGTGCCTGCTTGGACACGGACCTGGAGGGTGCTGCCCTGGAGCTGTTTTCCATGGCCGGAAGGGTCTTAATTTTCCCAGCTTGAGACACTGCAGGCAGTGCTTGGGCAAGAAGACGTTGCTTCCTTCAGCAGACGTCACCTTAAGAGCCCTGGTTCTGCTGGACAGGGAGTCCTGTGGGGCTGTGAGCATCACTCCAGAAGGGCAGAGCTCTCCTCCAGGACCTTTGTGGTGGCTGAGAGCACCTGATCTGCTCATGCAAATCAGCATCCCGGTCCTGTCCTATTCATCATTATGCTGCATAGCTGTGCTTTGTTACCCTTCCCAAGAACATTTCCCAAGTGGGATCAGGGTGTCTGAATCCTGAAACACAGTCTAAGGAGACACATTACATTCACCTGACTTCCCACCTTCCTCTGTGGAAGAAAGCGTCCTTCTGAGCTTTTTACCCTGTGCTATAGCGCAGTTCAGGGAACTCCTCTCCAGGAACCCCCCCCTCCAAACACACGGGGTTGTTTCTTCCTCCACGTGTCATTGCTGTAAAGCAGAGCTGACCCTTAAGGAGCCCATGGGTAGAGGGCACTGCTCTGCACAAAACACTCAGCCAAACACCAACCAGAGCTGAAGCCTCGGAGCTGCATCACAGTCCCCCAGGAAAGAAAAGCACCCTTAATTATTTCTCATTGAATGAATAAGATTTTGCTGAGAGAAGCTTCTCTGATTTTTTCTGTGTTATCTCCTTTAGCAGTTTCCATGCCCAGAAGCAACACATGTCCAATGGGACCTACATCAACCAGTTCCTCCTCATGGCATTTGCAGACACACGGGAGCTGCAGCTCTTGCACTTCTGGCTCTTCCTGGGCATCTACCTGGCTGCCCTCCTGGGCAACGGCCTCATCATCACCGCCATAGCACGTGACCACCGCCTCCACACCCCCATGTACTTCTTCCTCGTGAACCTCTCCCTCCTTGACCTGGGATCCATCTCTACCACTGTCCCCAAAGCCATGGCCAATTCCCTGTGGGACACCAGGGCCATCTCTTTCTTGGGGTGTGCTCTTCAAGTCTTTGTATCTGTCTTTTTAATTTCAGCAGAGTATTTTCTTCTCACTGTCATGTCCTATGACCGCTACATTGCCATCTGCAAACCCTTGCACTATGGCACCCTCCTGGGCAGCAGAGGTTGTCTCTACATTTCGGCAATCGCCTGGGGCAGTGGATTTCTCAATGCTGTCCTGCACACAGCCAATACATTTTCAATCCCCCTCTGCAAGGGGAATGCTATAGACCAGTTCTTCTGTGAAATACCCAAGATTCTCAGGCTCTCCTCCACAAATGCCTACCTCAGGGAGGTTGGCCTTATTGCGGTTACTGCCTGTTTACTCTTTGGTTGTTTTGTTTTCATTGTGGTGTCCTACGTCCAAATCTTCAAGGCAGTGATGAGGATCCCCTCTCAGCAGGGGCGGCACAAAGCCTTTTCCACGTGCCTCCCTCACCTGGCCGTTGTCTCCCTGTTTCTCAGCACTGTTATATTTGCCCACCTGAAGCCCCCCTCCATCTCCTCCTCAGTCCTGGATCTGGTGGTGTCATTTCTTTACTCCGTAGTGCCTCCAGTACTGAACCCGCTCATGTACAGCTTGAGGAACAAGGAGATCAAGGAAGCCTTGCAGAAAATATTTTAACATGGAGTACTGCAGTGTTAGTAAGGTGTCCAGCATCCTCAGGAAAAGCTCGGATGCTCTTTTGGTCATATGAGTCTTTGTTTATTATACTTCTTTTATTATTCTACTTAAATAACATTATTCTCAGCACTGTAACAGTGCTTACCACCCTGAAAGACTTGATGTACATATGGAGTCAGGATCCTGATATAGGGAAACACAATAAAGAATCCAGCAGAAAATTATTTGTCTCTGCTCCCATCTCTAACATGTCCTATGGAGCTGGGGGTGCAACCCCGCCGTACAGGAGGGGCCAAGTGCCACAAGCCCAGCTGCCACATTGAGGAGCAGGCACCTGTGGACCTCGGGGCTGCCTCTCTCTGCCTCAGTGCACAGATCCTTTCTGCCACCTTCACTTTGGGGCTGCTGCTTCCCTGGAGCTATGGCCCTGGACAACGGCAGGG